GGCAAAACTGTAATAAATCAGTTTTTTCTAGATCTGACTTTGTCAAAAGCTTTTATACTTCAAAATTTAATGTTACTTTATTCCCAAAACTCAGTTAACAGAATTTGATTTGTTGCTTGAAAATGCATTTAATAGACGGCGGTAGAGTCATAAAATATTTAGTGACGAAGGCCAAGAGATAATCGATCCGATCCAATTGATGAGTAGAAAATCTCATGCAATAGTTTATTTTATGGCGTTTGACCTGCATTTCAAAATGAACAAGAATTATTTCACGTTTTGTCTTAGATTCAGTTAATGTTTATTTTCTAGCTTCAACATAGAAAAATGGTTAACATCTCAGTCTCAGTTATTATTATTATTATTATTATTATTATTTACATCCCCACTTAGATCCTCACACTTTGATTTCACATCTTGCGAGAAATTGGCTCAACGTCGACTCACGTATCTTTCAACTTTCAATCTTAATATAAAAAGATGAGTTATTACTGCAGCTGGCAACGATGTCCTAATTCAACTGGAAAACTTTGAGTATATCAGAAATATATCAAGATGGGAAACAAGAACCCAGAATGTTTCTTCCTTGGTGTGTGATAACAAGCAACATGAACTTGGAGTCCGGTATCAGTATACAGACCTTAGAGATGCCAGTTGGCTATCCTATCCGCTGGGAAACAATGAAGATGAAAACATGTGAAGGAAGGTATTAACTTCATTTTGTGCTAAGTCTCTATTCATCTGGAATTTGGGATCTTAAGTAAAGAGGCGAATAATTCATTCAAAAAGTCGATTTTAGTCCATTCAGAAAGAAATTGGCATTTGAATTGATAACGATCGATAAAAAAAAGGGAATAAAAAAGGAGAGGAAAATGGATTCTTTTGATGGCACAAAGTCTGAACAACAAGTCTTCATCTGTAATGGGATCTACGTTTGGTTCTCTCCTTTTATCTGCGTTTATATTCATACTAAGTTTCAGCCACTCATCGATTCTTTTTGGTGATGACGTCAAAGAATTTCTTTGTCATCTCCTGATGTGGTCAGTACGAGAGGTTGATAAAAAATCTATGGCCGAAAATCTCAACAATAGTTTGCCACTGTAGCGGTAAATTGTTCTATTATTTTGCAAAATGCCAATTTGTAGCATCATTGTTCGCTTTTTAACCAGGTAAATGGAAAGTGTGGAATGTTCCAGTGTTGAATTCTAGGTAATCATGAAGTTCCTGTTTCTATAGAAGAAAACTGAAAAGAAAATCCACGAATTTACTATGCAATAATCAAATGACAAGTGTTTGTCATAGTCAACTTTAAAGAATTGATGTGACAATTTTCAGCATGGAAATATTGTTACCGAAGATGCAACACAATTTCGAAGTCTTCAACGGTTTTAACTCCTGAAACTATTAAGCTTGTTCATGTTTTATTTTAGCCAATCAACAAGTGTTGGTCAAAAGAACTGCCGAGATACAAGAAATACCCAGGGAAGATGTTGGTTTTATCATTTCTAATCACATGTCTATAAAGAAATGAATGCCAAACAATTTGAATACTGACCAGAATCACTTATCAAGTGAACACTATTACATTGATTTTGGCAGCGTTTTTCTGCGATTTAAGGAAACATTTGGAAACAGCTGATCACTGATAATGAAACATTGTATTACATTATAACGAACTGGAGACTAAACAACAGCCAATGGCAGCATTTGCGTTGTACAAAGCCGAAGAATTTCAAGATCCAAAAGTCAGCAGAAAAGGTCATTTTTTTTTCCTTTTTTGGAGGGGTGGGGAATAAGAAAGATATTTTAATCACTGATTTAAATAGTTATTGCAGTTAGGTTGCTGTGGCGATTAATGTGGGGAGTTGAAATAAAACCGGCGACGGAAAATACGGAAATGTGTCTTCATTTGCACAATACAGCAATAGAAGAACTTCACACAAAACGAAAAAGACGGCGGATGTTTCGAAAGAGTTGCTGTTTGAAAACCTTGAGTAGCCATCTTTCTTTCACCAGATTTTGTTTCCCAACTTAAAAATCAGTTTGAAATGGAGAATATTTTCGGTTCGGTCAATTCAAAACATCATTATTTATCTACACCGTTTCACAGAGTTCCAACATTTTCAGTTCCAGCCATTCCATTTCATGCTTGACTTCACATTGATATAGGGGATATACCATGATTTTGTCGAATAGTTGCTTGATGATGAACAGATGACACATATGTAGCACCCTTTGAGGGTGAATCTGAAGGAACTAAACCCCTTTACACTGTTTTCTGTTCAATTGTGTATTGCCATGATGTTTATGTGACAGACAGACAGACAAAGGAAGGGAGAAGGACAGAGGAATGGTTTCGTTACATTTCAGCGTTGCAGTAAAGTCACTTTACTGCAATTACACCTCAAATTACCTGATCGGTGACTCTTCATTCTCCTTTTGATGGACCTTCTTTCATTTCAGAAGGTTGCTAAAAACCCACCTTTGCTTCCTTTTGAAAAAGATTTAGAAATCATGTTAATGATTATATATTATATATATATATATATATATATATATATATATATATATATATATATATAAAAAAAAAGAGGTTGTAGTGGTTCCAACGAGAGAAAAGTATGTATATTAAAAAAAAGAGAAGAGAGGTGCCGCAAACGTTTTTGGTTGTAATGTGTTTTTTTAGAAAAAATATTATGCTTTATTTTTGAGATATGAGACATTCTCTGTTTTTGTGTTAGTAATCCGAATGTCTTTCTTGAATTGGCAATGAAGAGTTCATATCGAGAATATTTAACATTGAAAAACATAAGGAAAAAATATGTGGAAATCCCCGCTTTTACCTGAAGACGGTCACGAGACCAGAAACACGTGTAGTAAAATTATGGAAAATAAAGCATAATATTTTTTTCTAAAAAAACACATTACAACCAAAAACCTTTGCGGCACCTCTCTTCTCTTCTTTTTAATATATATATATATATATATATATATATATATATATATATATATATATATATATATATATAAATACTGGCAGAAATATATCTTTATACAAGTTTCGTTGAAAATGACTGATAAGGTTCTGCAGCTAAATTTTTTATTTAATTTTTCTTGTGTTCTTATAATTTTAAAGAACTTAACAACGTGAAACAGACGCTAGTTAATAATGGTTTTCCGAATGACTCATAGATCACCCAATTAGACAGTTTCTTTCTAGGGTAACCAATAGCAACACTGACCAACTAAAAACAATTTAACATTTTCTCTAAAAATCAACTACATGGTAACTATAAGCAGGATGAATCTTCCCTTAGAAACATTACAAAGAAATATAGAACTCCAGTCGACAAAAAACAAGAAAATTAAATTATCTACTATAAAAACAATTAAAACTGCTAACCTCATAGTCAGCAATAATAAATTACTTCCAAGATCTAAATTACAGAGGAGCAATATTATTTACGAATTCACATAATCCCTTAAGGAACTGTGTTCTTGATCAAACCAAATTCGTAAATAATTATATTGGATATACTACAACATACAAAAACAGGAAGACTCGTGTTACATTTCTCTGGCCTTAGCTTAATTAGGTCTCATTTAAATACACATGGAGACCTACTAATTTTCTTCCGCTACATACTCGGAGACAATACAAATATAATAGCCTCGTCCATATGTAAAAAAAAAAGGCTAAAAATAATGGAAGCATTATTAATAAAAGAAAAAGCCAACACGCAATAACATCAACTATAAAAAAACGAGGACCTTAAGGCGAACAGCGGGGGCACCAAACCATATATGGCAGCAGTATTCCATGCAAGGACGAATGGTTAATTTATAGATTGGAAGGATGGACTTGGGCGAGAAAAACTTTTGGGCGCGACACAGGGAACCAACTTTCCTTGCGGTGGATGAAGCAAGTGATTCGATGTAATTGTTCCATCTCAGGTCAGCGGACAGTGTGAGAACAAGGAGTCGCAAAGAGGTGCTCTCGTGGAGTTGAGCATCAGACATTCTAATGGGTGGCAGGGAGGGTTCCCTGTGATGAGTAATAGAGAGCAGTTTTGTTTTAGAGGCATTAAAGTTAATCAACCAATTCCTTATATATATATATATATATATATATATATATATATATATATATATATATATATATATGAAAATATAGTAAAATATATAAAGTTTAAGCATGAAACACTGTCGCTGCTGGGTGTTGACCTTAAGAGAGAGAGGGGGTGGGGGAGAGTTAGAAAGATTTAATATAAAATACATTTAACAGTTAAATTTTCGCTGTTTTTTAGCATCTTTTCCATTCGTCATTCAATAGATTTTCCATTAAATACGTTTTTCGCCTGTTTTCTTGTTTGTGTCTTTTTTTCCTTTTTCATTCAATTTATTACCAACAAAATCTCGACTCCAGCTTAAGCGTAACTTGTCGACAGTGAAAAGGAATTAATCAAAGTTCTATTTCCTTGTGATCCAAAGGTTTAAGTTTACCCAGACATTTGAGGAATGATTACCGCGTGTTCACGATTAGTAAGACTACTACTACTAATAATAATAATACTAATACTAATACTACTCTTTAGTTGATTTATTTTGTAGAAACCTTTTCTACGTTGTCTGCAATAGAAAGATTATTACAATTAGGTCAGAAATGCAGTCAGCAAAAGAAATCATATTTCAGTAGAAAACAGTTTTTAAGTTTAATATTGACAGAAGAAAAAAAATCATCATCTCTCTGGTTTAACTATAATATTTGCCTTGAAAAGTTGGCATTCGAAATGTGGCGTCTGGCTAGATTTGCATACTGACTACCGATTTCGATTCCATTGAACGCAAATCAGAAATAGAATCTCAAAGCATAAATCAGAAGAAACAGGGGATGATCGGAAGAAATTCTCAAGGTTTAAATTCAGAAAAGAAAGGAAAAGAAAACGTACTCCCTCCGGCATACCATGACTCTCACACCTCACACAGACACACACACAATGTTATGTGTTGTCCTCGGCGTGGATAAAATAGGGAATATCAACAAAAACAATTAACTGACTCTTGAGAAATGTTCCAATATTCGTTCTCGGGAAACAGAAGAAGTACGGAACTTTCGAGAAGAAATCTGTAAAATTGCAAATAGCAAAATTGTCTTTTGATAGAGAGAAGAAAAAAGAAGAAAAAACATCAAGGCGTCTCGTCTTTTGATCTGATGTACGATGCGAAAGAAAATGGCTGACAGAAGAAACGGGCGAAAAGTTGTGAACGAAATCATTCTTTGAGTAGATATTCCTATGTCTATATATCTGTGTGTGTGTGCTGTGTGTATGTATGTGTGTGTGCATGTATTTGTGTGTGTAGGCCAGGTAATTAAATACGAGGAATAAAAAGACAACAAAATGCTAAAAATATTGTCTATGAGATTAATAATATTAATTTTATACGAATAGTCTTTTCGACTAAACAGAAGCGCTAAGAGGAAGATTTTAAAATTTTTTAAATCGGAATTTTCGGACACACCTAAGTCCTTTATCAACAAGACAAAGAATAAACAATGAAGTCGGACCAATTTTTAAAATCTGTTTTTATTTCTAAATTATATATATATATATATATATATATATATATATATATATATATATATATATATATATGCTATATCAAAATACTTTTGCAAACTAGGACAATAGTCCATATAAAACATATATCCGCCAATCCTTTCTTTTTATGCTATTAAATTTAAAGAAAGTTTACGGTACATGGCGTTGTGTTACTATATAAAGAAGGTTACATTTGTCATTCGAATACATTTGTGGCTCGTCTGTCTTCAGCGTTTAACGTGTGTAGTAGTGGGTTAGCTGGGAAGTTTTCCGTTTAACGATAGCAGTGTAGTCATATCGTGAGTAGACACACACGAATGGTTACGGACCTGAGGCTGCATGGCTGTATCAGATTGCGTTCCCAGTCCGAAGTAGCCGAGTCATCCAACCATTGCTGCTGTTTATCCTCGCGTTGCTGAGACAAGATCCGTGGCACCAGAAACTATGGATCGAGGAAGACCGATATCCCCTCGTACGCCTGGCCACGAAGAATACATTTTACAGGCTGTCGGAGCACGTCAAGTGGTCCTAGCATGTCGTGCATCTCATAGTACTGAATGGACATTACTTCAAGAGCAGTATCCGTATCATTTGCAACGGTTGCAGGGTCTTTCGCCCTCTGCTCACTCACCGCGGTAAATTCCTATATTCTCCCAGAAAGTCTTACAGGAGCTGTCTACACGGACATTATTTTGGACGTACTTCCAAACCTGCTAGAGCATGTACAGCTGCTAATATGAAGATTCCTTTTGCCTATATGTTTATATCGACATTTTACCTTGTTTTGCTGTGAGGAACCTGCTCCATATATATATATATATATATATATATATATATATATATATATACGCCCCCGAAAAAATAAATTTCGGTCACGCACTTTAGAGAGAAAGCTCTAATTTGTAAACAGTAACTGCTACTGCTAATAATGAAATGCTCTTCTATGAATCGAGCACTCTGAGTCACTGGCATGTTTATTCAAAATAAATACGTAAAAATTCAACTTCCTCTCTGCCGAGAACCGATAGCTTAGGAGAAAAATCTCAAACTGATGCCAAATCAGTCTGGTTTCGAACCTGACTTGGAGCAATCGGTTGTCTAGCCACACTGATCATTCTATCTGTGGATGACTATCTCATACATATATATATATATATATATATATATATATGGAATTAACGGATTTTATTCTTAATCCAATATTATTTCCTATTAGTTTAAACATTATATTTCGAATGCATAGGCCGGTAGATTCATATGTAAATTAGTATGTTCAGAATTTATCAACTAATTGAGAAGAAATTATAATGTAAAAAAAATACAATAATTTTTAATAGAACCCTCATTATATTTTCAATAAAATTTCTACACATGTTTAACTTTAATAAAAAGATTTTAATTTAAGAAAATCATCGCCAGCTTCAGTGCGTCGCTGGAAGGGAAACTGAATGTCTAGATCCCTTGTTACTTGTTTATGTTGGTTATCACTTCCACAATGGCGACCGTCAACAATTCTTTGGTATTGTGGGGTCAGTGACTAGTTGCTCGCTTGCAATGACCCAAACGTAGGTGAGTTAGCAAGCAACAATTCGGTGAGCGGCGTGACTGTGAAAATTCCCAACCAACCATGGATCCTGGATGATGCTGGCCAAGTGTTAGGCTGCCTATTCCTGCTGGAACGAGTACGGCCTCTCATAAGCAAACCTGTTCCAACTTTCTGCCAGTGTGTCCACCATCTTGACATAGTCAAGATGGTGGACACACTGGCAGAGAGTGCCTTTCATCAACTTCCTGTGGTAGGTGAATTTGGCCGTCTCTACGAAATCTGACCGCTTAGAATGGTTCTTTGTCTTAGGAAGAGTTCTCCAGCTCTTTCTTTCCAGGAATTTTCTATCTCCGAGTTACTGGTTGGTAGCGTGCTTTTTCATTTCGAAATTGCCATGTTACTTAAATAGTGAAATAGTGTAGCGAAAGGCTTGCGACGTTGAGTCTAAGGCAAAATGGCTGCAGAGTGGAGACTAAGCTAGCCGCCAGGATTGAGCAATTCCACTTCAGATCTGACAGCAGTACTGTATTTTCGGTCTAATCTAACACATGTAAAGATAAAAACCACAGAAATGATATTGAACTCTATCAAGGCTGGAAATTTGAAGAATTGGCTGCTCCAGCTCGGATATGGCAGCTACAGACCATTTTTTTTTATTATTCTTACTCTTGCAAATATAAAGCATGGAAAATGGAGTACGGGAATTCCTAAAGCGATAGAATGATATGAACCTTCATCCAACAATTTTAGCAATGGATTGCGTATGTAAGTTACACTTGAGGAGGCCTAGAGTGAATTCCCGGCTCAGTAAATTCAATAAGCAATATATCTGTGCAAAGCAAAATCAATATCAGAAGTGAAAAGATCCGGATAAAAGAAGCATTAGACAAACGACAAGACAAACGACATGGCAAACCGTGGCCAAGGACACCAACTAAATTAACTTTCACACTTGACCAATGGGATGTTTAATTAGATTTGGATTTCTTTCCAGATTTCATTTTTCCTTCTTCCTCCTCGAAGATTTTTGAATGAATGTTCTTAACTTGATTGAATGTATCTAACAAGTCGACAGTTAAGCTCAATTTTGCAGCTCTGCAAATACAGCGTAGTGAATGTCAATGAAGAATTGATGTCTGGATTAACGAAGAGATTTATCGACCTGGTCACGTGATGGCCTAATGTTCCGGCTGACTGTCGATCTTTGTCAGAACAGAAGATAATGATCAATGGTTTCACTAAGAGCGGTAACGTCATTCAGATCTGGACCTGTATTATGACAGCACGGATTATCTCCCTTGACTACTGGATTTTACTTCCGAAAAGAAGAAAAACGAAACTCACAATTTCAATGAGGAATCTTTTTCTTTCTTGGATTCTGCTGCATAAGTGCAATTTTCAATGCGATTCCGAGAAGCGATTAAAAACTGGGCAGACTTCTTTTCATTGATATTTCCACCCAAATGTCAATAAATAAAAACTGTCGAATAGGGCAAAAGAAGTGAACAGTTATCTACATAGGACAGGTATAGTTATTTACTCTGGAATAGGACAATGAAGGCACCTGGTGCGGATCACTCATACCATGAACCATGTGGCTATATAAAAGAATAGATTGAGGCTGACAGATCTGAATAGACAAACAAGAAAAGACTAACATAGATAGATAGATAGATAGATAGATAGATAGATAGATAGATGTGTAATTTACAATTAAATTAATACGTATTTGATTATATGAAAATGAGCTGTTTTATATTTAACCGGGAGTTTCAGTGCCCATCAAGTTCCAATCAAATAAGAACCTATTCATACGTCGAGAAATGGGAAAGTCCCGCTTATATTGGAAACTTTAAGCCCTGGATTGATCTGTTATGTTTTCGTTTTTATCTGATAACGAAGAGGCAATGCTCAAGAAAGAAAAAAAGTAGGTTCAAAAAGCAAAGAAAAACGACTGAAGTTGAATAGTCACAAAACTTCAACCAATAACCTATTAATCTCTTTCTATTGCTAGCTAGCTAGATATCTGTCTGTCTGTCTATCTATCTATCTATCTGTATACGTAAGCCTGAATTCATATGTATTTGCTTATTGAAAGCAACTTCAACCTCAATCTATTATTTTAGTTTGTTCATGTCTATTTATTTGTGTATTTAAGTTCATGTAGATTTGGCTTTACTATTTGGCAAATTTCGCTTTCCTCAAAAGTCTGTTGTTTTAAGGACCGAACTTTTCAGTCAAAATATTTCGTCATTATCATTGCAGATCGAGCTGGAAAGCCAGCAAGATAAATCGGTTCCCAGCACCGTAACGGCACATACTCTTCCGCAATTACGACATTCGAAAAGATAGCGGATAATAAAGAAATATCGAAGGATAAAAGAAGGATTCTTTGCACGTCACGAACCAACAATGCAGACACGTCGCCAACTGACTGAAGACAAGAGCCAATTTTTCTAATTGGATAGATATTACATTAAAGGTATTCAGGATGAGCCTGATGCGGGGCTGTCCCTTGTATCGTTTGTAGTGACCAACTCAATTCAATTCATCAAAGTACAGTGGATGAGTCAATTATCAGACATGTGGGTTACAGGGTAAATCCAATGTAGTTATCGATCGACAAGCATTGATTTCAACGGGCGTTGTTTATGAATGAATTTCAAAATGCGCTACCTTATCTCACCAATGTAAAGTGCGGATTATTTTTAACAGACACACGTAGAATCATTCAAGGTTTCGCAAATGATAATGAATATGTATCCCAAAATTGACATCCTTCTGAGAACTTGTTGTATACTTCAAAATAGTTGACTACGGACTTTACAAAACGGCTCTTCGAATTTTAAACAATCACCTGCACGAGTTTTTGTGGCTCCCATTTTATGGCTTATGGGCAACACTAGAGGGACAGTGATAGAAATACTGAATGACGGGGACAGGTTTCAAATACAGTTACGGATCTCTTGTTTGCAATCAACACATAAGGCGGCTACAGACAAGATGGCTTTCGACTGCGGTTGAGCCGACTAAGCAGACCTCTTTAGGAACGACTTGTGTTATCTTTTCATTTTTCATAATACGATAATATTTATGAAAAACTAAATAAACACGAGAACTCATGCAAGAGACATGAAAATTTAAAAATGAAACTAAGAAATTATTCAAAAATGAAAATATTTCGAAAACTCCGATACTCTGTGGATTACCAAAAATATATAAACCAGATATCTCGAAGAATTCCATTGTTTCAGGAACGGGTAGCACCCCCCATAAGTAACCTGCACATTAGCCAAAATTTTAACCCCGCTTCTTGCTACAATTAGCTCCTCGTATATAAAAAAAAACCTCTGGTGATATTTTAAATAAACTAAAAAATATAACCATAAAAAAAAAAAATATATGACCAGTTTAGATATAAAAATCTTTCTACACAAATGTTCCCGTAAAGTCTAAATCTACTAATATATATATATATATATATATATATATATATATATATATATATATATATATATATATATATATATTTCAGTGTACATGACGATTGCGTTTAGCATGAAACAGACCATCGCCTCTGGATGTTGACTTTAATGTTCACTTTTATATTTACATAGGGTCTATCCCGGATATTAAGCACTTTAACCCATACATATAGCATACCTTAAACCTATATTCTATCATCTTTATCTTTTAATATATTAAATCGCTCTGCAAGTTTGGTTTTCCTACTTGAAATTGAATACTTTTTTAACGTGTACGATTTTAACAAATATTTCAGTGTTTGTTTAATTCGGCGTATGTAGTATATATATATATATATATATATATATATATATATATATATATATATATATATATATATATATAGTCTAAATTTATGGGGAAAAAGGAACAGAATATAAGAGAAAAAGCGTTTGCATTTATATATATTGTGTTGACAAAATGAATGAACACTTCGGGGTGACTGTCAGTTTTACACATCACTGCGACCTTCAGACATTTTCTAAAGAATGTTTTGATGAGTAAAACTTGTAGTCATCACTTAGTCTTCATTTTTATATACACATTGTATTTTTCTCTTCACACTGTGTGCGAGACCGCGCCTGCATGTGCGTGTGTGTGTGTATGCGTGGTTTGTCCGGAAGCATAATTATAAGAGATGTATTACTGTCAACTATAACACCATAACAATGTATGGTTGGTGTTCATTCTTGGAAATGTCTGTATATTTCTTTGCTTATGAGCGCATCTTTTCCATATATAAAGGATATTTGCTCTATCAACAGCATGGCGTCCTGATCTTCTCTCTGTAATACAGAGATGGCTTTTCTTTCAAAATAATTAGCTCAACAACAGACGCCATTCTATAAAATGACGTAAGCTCAAAAGAAAACAGAGATTTTCAGTCCATTTATGATAGGAAAACGTCTTTTTGTTGAACGTTTTTGTTTCCCCAAAAACAAAATGCAGCTTTTTATGATTGCACCTGCTTTCAGCCAAAAGAGAAGACAAACTAATACACCCTCTTTTTTCTCTATTTAAACCTTCCTGTCTTTCTCTAATTCCTCGAACTTTCTTGTTTCTCTCTCTCACTCTCTCTCACACACAGACACACACACACACGTTCTATACTTACTCTGTCCTCGTTTCTTTATCACATTCTTCTTCTTCTCTTGTTTCCCCTCCTCTTCTTCATATCATCTTCCCATTTCACTTATCCTCTCTATATTCCTTCGTTTTCTTTTTTCTCCTTCCTTCCTTTATTTCATTCTCTCTCTCTCTCTCTACGCCCTCTCTCACTCTCACTCTGTGTGTGTGTGTGTGTTTTCTTCTCTATTTCTCTTGAAAATAATTCTCTATATTGCTCGTTTTATCATTTTTCTATTATCTTTCGCAACTCTTATTCCACTGGCAAATCTCTCTCCATCGCTCGATTCCCGATTCACCTTTTCATTAAAAATTTCAGTCGGTAACAACCCAGGATATTTGCCTTTCATGAAATCATCAGTAGATTTTCTTTTCTTTTACCAATTGTACATACCATAATAGATAGATAGATAGATAGATAGATAGATAGATAGATAGATAGATAGATACGGACCCATGATTACAAACACAACATTATATATATATATATATATATATATATATATATATATATATATATATATATATATATATATATATATATTCTTTTTTATTATTTACCCATTAAGATGGTGTTTAATGTGCGATTCATAAAATGCGTGTTTATTTTCTTGGACGCTCCCCTGTTCTATAAATCTTTCTCCCGTTTTTCATAAGAAGTCTATCAGCGTGCCGACAATAAGAAATAATTCCTTTTGTTTATTAATCTATTGCCGTTCTTGAATTCGATGATTTTTTGGGTGTTATCCTCCAGACACAGCAAAATTTCTTCCTCTTGTTTTCATTATCATTTTGTTAATCTATCCCATCCTTTTTATTGGTATGATTTCCCTTTTCTTTTTAATCTCCGCCATATGTGTTGGCAAATATTGTTTTAAGCTGATATTTTTCGTATTTAAAAATAGTAAATTATTTGCATATATTTATATAAACTTTTTCCCAGTTGTTCCGACTATATATGGATATGGAATGTTAAAGGGGGTTTGTTTCTTTTATTAAAAACATGCTCGGGCGAATTCCAGCCACGCTCAGCACATGAAGGCTTGGGATAAACACTCCTATTCAAATCTTCACAAAAGTAAACTATAAACGAAACCGTCAAAACATGAGAGAAAACCAACAACACCAAAAACGTACCCCCCCCCCACCGAAAATGTGGCCCAAATCGCTTGGAACAATGAACATTTTTGTACTTACACGTACAAAAAAATAAAACGGAACACCATAGCGATGCTGGAAGCAGTAAATAAAATAAAAAAATTAAATCTTCCATTGTTTGCCGTATTTACTGAAAGATGCTTAAAAGAAAGGTTGCTGCCTAAATATACATATAATGAAGGAAAGGAGGAATGAATGAAGGAAGGAAAGGAGGAAGAAAAGGAAGAAAGAAGGAAAGACGGAAGGAAGGAATGAAGAAAGGGGAAATGAAGACGAAATGGGAGTGAATGAACGGTAAATTTAAATTCTTGAAGAGGAGAAAGATCAAAAAGGATTTTTAAAAAAAAGAGGACACAGTAGAAGCAAGTCCTACTACGACAGCTTCTTCCCAAAAACCGCTGCTTTGTGGAAGAGGACACCCTCAAGGGTGCTTTCCCAATCATTAAAATCTTGAACACTTTATATCTAAGGTTAGGCGTTATATTTTTTGTATAACTTCATGAACTTCACATCTTGCCTTTTTCTTACGCTTATATAACAGCGCACAATAACGCTCTATCTTGAGTGGCTCTTCAGCCTTATATTTGCTGAACAGTAATATAAAAAAAATTATTGAAAAATAATTGTGTGATAGTAATGAAGTGTTGAAGAGAGATCACCGAATAATAAAAAAAAGGAAACAATGTGGTCGTGCTCATGCGCCCATACAGGGTACAATGAGTAAATTGTCACCATTTATCTTGTTATATTTCATGCATGCACGTTTCTGATTTTGTCTACTGCTTAATATAGTAGGGTCAGTTGGGCACCGTTTGTGAGAAAAAGAGCACCATAGCGCAATTCACTCAGCCAGAAATTTGGAAACGGCATGCTGTACTGCTTGGCATTTGCACCAGAAGGTCCAATACGAACATTGCATAGAGTTTGGTTGTCAATCTGACAGTGCATAGGATTTGGAAAGAGTGGGATGAGTCTAATGGTGATTACGAAGGTATTTGGAGTGATCACTAGTGATGGCAACGTTATGCCTCCATTCGTCTTCTCACAGGGGCTCAGAGTCAACGCGGTGGCCTACATCAAGTGCCTTGAGGTAAGTAATGCTGCCCTAGGTCAAGATGGTGGTTAGTAGAAGACCCTATGTCTGGCAACATGACTCTGCACCATGTCACACAAACAGGAGAACTTCGTCATGACAATTTCTGCAACCACATCACCAATTACATTTGGCCACCTAAGTCCCCAGACAGCCACCCCTTTGTGTGGGACGCAGTTGAGTGAGAGAACAACAAAACTCTTTGTAACACTGAAGAGGAACTGAAGGCAAGGATTACGACAGCATTCACCAACTTAAACAAGGAGACCGTCCAGAAGAGTTGCAGGAGATTAAAAAATCGTCTGGAGGCCGTCGTTGAAACCAAAGGCGATTTTATTGAATAAATTTGCTCTTTTTAGTTACTTTTTTAGTGGATACCCGTATCTAAACAGACGCTCCGTTTATTTATTAAACAATATATTTATCTATTTTCGTCTACCAGGCTGAATATTGGAGAAATTTTATTAAAGAAAAATAACATTAATAATGAAAACAGTGCGTCTATTTAAATATGAGTATCCAGTGAAAATAACGTTTATTGATAAAAATCTGTCGGATTAATATCCATAACTTCATTTGACGTTTGGATATTGATACTGAACAGATATGATAATTTCAAGGAATTTATGACGAGTAGGATTTTGCTCAAAGATACTGTTCGGACTTTGCTTCATTGTCAAATCTTCTTCGTGGTCGAGTTAGTTAAGGCACGTCGGATCGAACGAAGGTTTCTCTCTGGCCCATGGGTACGCAGTTTCAAATCCTGGTGGGGAGTGCGTATTTTTCTTTGATAAGATTTATCGAATATTCAGGTCGGTAGACGAAAATAAATAGTTATAGTGTTTAATAAATAAACGCCTACACGTTAAAGTGATTATATATATATATATGAAAAAATATAGTCTTAATTTATGCTATTTTTATATGATAAAAGTGCTCGACATCAGGGATAAAGCGTATACGAATATAAGCGTGCACACACACATATGTATATATTATTTATGCGTGTATAAATCCGTTGATGATTAAATGCGCCTTTTAATGCTCTCTCCATGCATTAAACTCAGTAACATTGTTATTGAAATAAGGAAAGAATAGAATAAAACAACTCCACTATAAAACTTAAGACACATTTTTTAAAAATGTCCCAATGAAATTTTTTAAAAAATGTAGAGCCTTTATTCTAGAAGGATTAGCAAGAATCCAGAATTATTTTTGAATAAAATACACACGCACACATATACACAGGCATATATATATATATATATATATATATATATATATATATATATATATATATATATATATATATATATATAAAAAAAGAAGGGATTAAAAAAAAAAGAAAAAGATTTAATCAGAGTGAGAAATAAGATAAAGGGAAGGAAAAGAAAGATAAACAAATTGATAAATTTATGTATATTTGATCGCAGTATTGTGCCTAACAGTTTGTTTTTTTTCCGGAAATCGAAGATCTTCAACGAAGATTCTCTATGAAATTAATGATGTCAAAATGAAATGAAGTAAAACCCCCGCCAGGGTAATTTGAGGATCCTTTTTAAGCCTCCTTTATGGCCACATCAACCATGATTTGACCGACAAAACTTGATTCTTGGGAACTTGACTTTTGACTTTAAGTAAAACGAAAGAGGTGACTTTTTTTTTTTTTAGTCTTAGCCTCCTCAGACGAGATTTTTTGTCCGATCATGATGGATTCTCAAGACATCCCATTTTTTTTATACTTCTTTTTCCCATTGGGTATCTATCACCACCTTACATTCTCTCTTTAATAAATGGCATCCTTCCATCTGTTGGACTTTTTTTCTTCTTTGGCCGCTTCACATGAAGTTTGGAAGCAAAATATCTCTTCCTCCGTGCAGTTTGAAAAATGTTTTATGAGATATAAACTTTGACCTTTCTTTTGCCTCATTTCAAAGATATAGAATGTTGTAAATTGCCAACGTTATAGAATGCTTTCTTAAAGGAAATATTTAGGAGTTTTCTTTTTTTCTAAATTCATAAGTACAGCAATTCATATGAAAAGTAAATACTTTTCTATAGAGACTAAAATCAGTTTTTGCTTAAACCGGTTAATAGAGACGGTATCTCTTTTATGAGTTGTGTTCTTCTAACTGTTAAGATTGTCGCTTGAGTTTGTTTATGTTGGACGTTTATTGATAAATCAGATAATATTTGAATAGATTGCTAGCAGAAAATCACCTTCAGCACTAGTTGCAGTCAGCATAATAGAGACAAACAAAATGAAATCTGTAATTAACAACAAATATGGATCAAATGAGAACGAAAAGAGACTTGAAGAATTCTAGATTTTATTATCTTGACTTCTGTAGTATGTTGCAGGTGGAGTTTGCTAAGTTTCCGTTTCTGCTTAAATGAGTCCTAATTAAGCCAGGGTTTGTCACATGGAACGAGGGTGTTTTTGATAAGCATGTAGTGGTATGTCAATATAATTATTAATGAATTTGGTATGATCTTTAACGCAGTTCCTTAAAAAACGTCAAAATTCCTAAATAATATTGGTCCTCTGTAATTTCAATCTTGCACGTGAAGTGTTGTTGTTGATGAGTTTAGCTGTTTTAAATTTTTTTATAATAATTTAATTTTCTTCTAGTTGACTGGTGTTGTATATTTCTTTTTATAATGTTTCTAAAAAACATACTTATGGAAACATACTTGAAAAACAAAATCAACCATAACAGCCTAATCAATATGTAAAAAGAAACGACTTAAAATAATGAAAGCATTAATAATTTTAAAAAAAGCCACCATTCAATAATATCTACTATGAACACTGTCATAACGTCCTGACCGTGTTTGAAAAAACATTCCCATCACTATAGAAATACATATATAAAAACATACGTGTTCAGCTTAAAAAAACATAATGTATAACAGAATAGCTGAAAGCGGTCGTATCTATAGAATATTCGGATAATTTTTATACACTTTATGTCCAGAAAAGGAAACAATTATACGAATACGAGAAAAACTGAATAAAATGCTTAATGGCAGTACCTTGTCAGTCGTCTTTAGTGAAACTTGTATAAAAGAGGACTGCTACCCAAATACACACACACACACATTATAATGGTAACGTCGGAAATAACCAAAAAAAAAATATATATATATATATATATATATATATATATATATATATATATATATATATATATATATATATATATA